AGAAGGAGAATTTTAAATAGAATTGAATTGAATGAATCATGTGACCCAAAATGCTGCTGTTACTAAAACCTGGACATTTCATGTTGAGCTTCCCTATTGGCTGAAAGTTATATAGTGTTGCTTTGAAGGGAAACAGAGGCTTTGTAAACAAATAAATAAAAAATTTGTTTGTGTGTTTGTTTTTTTGATTAGTCTAGTTTTCTTTAGATATCTAAAGAAATTGTACTGTTAGTGATTAGCTGTGAAAAACATACTACAATGACTTGATAGATGCAGTAATGTACTTTTAAAACATTTAAATAGAAAAACCTGACATTTTGCAGGAATATCAAGTGGAGCAGCTGCATATAATAGATGCCAGTAGATGAATGTTATGTGAACCTTACTGCCTGAAATAGGTCTTAATTGGATTCTCAGAGGATAACCGTCACTGTGAGAGAACTGGGTCTCCTAACAGGGGATGAAAGGGATGGATGCACTTGTTTCCAGGGCAACGAAAACAAGGGATATTTAGCTAAAGAGCTTAATACATTACCCATGAAAAAGGGTTTTTATTTTTATTTTAATGGTTTTAATTTTGTCAACCAGATGATATAATTTTATTCCCTGCTGATCTGACATTTCTAATGTCCAGCTTATGTCACAATTTTAAATCCCAGTTGTTTTTGAGATAAAACCTTCTTATGGTTTAAATTAAAATGGTAACTAGTGTGTAGGGCATAAAACCTCGGTTATTTTTTAATCTTTTATTCTTGGCCTCTCTTATTAGTTCTTAACTAAGAAGATATAGTTATGTTTACTGTATCACACTCTGATAGTTGGGATGCTTGCTATTATGATGCTAATAATGTATTTTATGCAACATAAAACATCCAAAGAAAAGGACCTCAGACTGAGATTTGCAGATATTTCTATAAGATATCCAATTTAATAAGAAGCAAATAATGAATTGCACCAATAAAGGATAATGTCAGTATTTACTACCTAAATACCTGGGAGCAATTTGAACACAGGTCAGAAAGTCCAACTCTAGAAAGCCCACCAATAACGCAGATAAACCCAATCTGCTCTCTAGCTGTTGGGTTCCACCTTTTAACTGTTGCACCATTGTTTGTTTCTCCCAGGGAGCCCACTTGGCTATGATTGACACCCTAATGATGGCCTACACTGTCGAGACTGTGAGCATGGAGAAGGTACTGACCTGCATTCATCAATACTCATCCTGCAAGTTTGAGGAGGAACGACCATATGATGCGGAGGACGCAGTGACCACCTGGATTAACAAGGTTTGTTATAGTGATTATATATTTCAAGAATAACTGTTATCTCTCAAGATCTAGTGACATCACACCATCTTTAGTATCCTTAAAATACCGTATAACGATTGTCCACAGAAAATATATTGCCATCTGGATGACTAAAAGATGAACAATGTGTTTTTTTTATCCTTAACGGCTAAATACCAAGACTTGAGGCTGCCTGGGCCTGGGGGAAGGCTTGATCCTCTATTACTCCTTTCCTGGCACCTGTCGTTGTTGTGTTGTTTGTGTAAGTGCTTTGGTCCCATGTGGGTGGCCTATGGCTCGTATTTGGTGTGAGAAGGTTGGAGCCTGAAGAGTGGAGGGACCAGGAGGGGCAGTGGGGGTTTCAGGTCAGCCAGATATGGTGGGGCAATGTTATGAAGAGACTGATAGGTGAGAAGAAAAAGCTTGTACTGAATGCAGTATTGGACAGGGGGTCAGTGATGCTCTTTGAGAACATTTCGAGGTTAAGATCTCTGGACTGGATGCTGGTGAATAGGCGAGCAGCAGAGTTCTGTAAATATTTTTATTTTTGGAGATGAGTAGAGGGAAGACCACATTAGTCGAGACTGGGGGCGATTGAGGCGTGCTTAAAGATTTCAGCTGCAGACTGGGAGAGGGATGTGTGGAGGCAGGTGATGTTGCTGAAGAAAGATGTTTCAGTGATTTGGCTGTTATCTCAGGGAAGAGTCTATGGTGATGCCTAGGTTACAGCGGAGCAGGACGGGGAAACATTTTGACGGTCAGTAGTGAGGCTGAAGTATTTGGGACCAGTGATGAAAAGTTCTGCTTTGTTGACTGTCGACATCAGCTCAGCCAGCGTGATGCTGTCATCAGTCACACGGTGGTGGGGGGACAGTGGCCACGCAGCTTGCCAGTAGGGGGTTAGACTTGGCTTTTCAGTCAAATGGAAAAAGAGCCAAAAGCCGATTGTCAGCGGGTCAACTCGGTTTTGAAAAACCCAGGTTTTCCGTGGGAAAGCAGCTTGAGAGGAGTAACCTAGAAGCAATATTACCTCTGGAGGAGCTGCAGAGATTCACAGCTCAAGTGGGAGAATTTGTTGATAACATAACCAATATGTGCTTATGGCTGGAAATCTGGTTCATGTAAAAGCAAAGTCAAACAACAGGTCCCACTTGCATTTTGCCACAACTAACTATGTAGAGGACAACAAGAATATGAAAAAGAGGCTCTACAGATGTAAAAATACCAAAACAACTTTTGTCCCATTTTGCCATAACACCTCAGTTGCTAAAACTAACAAAGCATTTTACTTTGAACTAGTGAAACATCAGCTGGCCGATATTCTTGACTGGTATATTTGCGTTTTCTTCTTTAGTGCCTAGTTTTGAGATCTCGTGAAGTACATGCATTGCCACCCCCTTCATTTGCTATATCTATATTTGTTTAAACTGAAACTTGTGTAACATTTGTTACAGTCTCTGTTAATGAGATTAAGATGGAAAAAGATAGTTCAACAGAAAACTCTGCTTATCTGTGTGGGATAAACAGAAGCATTAAAAGTCCTCTCAAACATCACTGGGTATTGATAGCATAAATGAAACATTCAATTTGCAGTCATTTTGTATGATGTGACAACAAACATAACCTCAGGAGATAAAAACTTTGACGACTTCATCCAATTGTCCGTCTGTCTATCCATCCATCAATTTAATAACATGTTCTAGGTTGCTTTTGATGGCCCATTTGCACAGATGGTTAGCAGACACAGCAAAGCAGAAGCCACTCTGTTTACATTCTCTTTGCTGAAGTCTTGGACTGCTTCCAGATTTAGGCTTCAAACACACAGAGAAGAAAACGGCTTAAAGGAGGTGTGGTTGGGCTCTACCATATGTGTCCTACACAGGCATATGTCTCTCTGTTTGAATTTGCTTCCCTTCCAAAAAACTTAGCCTTTTTTTAAATTAAAACAGAACAAAATTGTAAAACTTTACATTTTAAAGTCTAAAAACATTACTTTTTTAACTTTATTGAATTATTAGATTCCTTTGGGCCGCTCTTTTTCCCTCTCAAGAATCTTGTTTTGTATTAAAATAATATTTTTCTTCCCTCTTTCTCTAGGTAAATGAGTATCTAAAAGACATTGTTACTCAGGAGCAGAAGAAGGAGACACAGAGTCCTGAGCAGACTGGGGGTCCTCGGGTGGGTGTTTTCCTTTGACTTCCTAATCCAGCTGCAACACTCCACACACTACATATACTGTAAACAGTTTGATGGACAGATTCAATTGAGCAGAGTAAAATCCTTTGCTCCAAGTAATGGATTTAAAACAGCATGTCTCTTTGACTGGCACTTACTTTTCCCAGCCGTCTGTGTTACTACAGTATCTCAGACAAGTTGTATCTACTGTGTGAAGCGGTTTAAACTCACCAGCCATCTGGAAAAAAAGATCTCTGTCTGGTATGGCTAAGCATTGGATTAGATTCACTGTTTATGCAATAAATATCTGACAGATAAATGATAAATTAGAGAATATCCACATTCACTCTCGTCTTGCTATATATAGTGAGGACCATGTGTTGAAACAAAGTGATTTTCTGTCATTTTCAACCCTTACTATGCACTAACCCTAAAATAACCCCTACATAAGGCAAAGCGAGAGAGTGTGAGTGTGTATAGTCAATTGATATAATTGTTTTACTTCCTTTTTTTCTGATTACATTTCACTTGTTGTCAGGAAGAAACATTTTTTTATATATTTCATTTGATATTTATTGTAGTAAAATACCAACTTTCACTTTGGTAGGTGTATCATTGACCAATCCTCTGTAAATTCAGTCCAAATTCTCCTCTATGTGAGGTTTAGACTCTTCCAATGAATGATGTGGTAGGTTACTGCTTTTATTGCATCTTTATTATACAGCATTTTTTTATCCTCTTGCAATAAAAATAGATTGTTCTTTGTGTCTGTATCATATCGGCATTGAGTTTAAGCATGCATGGTGCTTATATTATTATGTAGGAATGTAGGAGTGATGATCAGAGATTTTAAAAACATGGGACAAAGAGTTCATAAGAAAAAGAAAATGGAAGATGAGGTGAACGATGTCACTCTTGGAATCACCTTCATGTTTATCCTTTATGCTTCGTCTCGCCGTCTCCCCTCCATGCACTTAAATAGGCACCACCAGCACTTTTGTTGTTGGCTTCCACTTTGTCACCAACACCTGAATTGTGTTCAGTGGCTGAGATAAAATATTATATTTATCAGTGACATTAGTCATCATGTGTCCTCTCCGTTTCTTTTACCTCCAAGAAAAAAAATGAACTATCCTTTTTTTGCGCTACTCTCTGTTATATCATACAACTCACTAACTTAACACCATCAGCTTTGCTTTGTTTTAATGACGCTAAAAGCCCATCTTAAATTAAACTGACAGCTCAGCCGCCTCGTTTTGAGCTGCAGAGATGGAGAACTGCTCTTCCCTTTTCTCTAGGCTGCACAGTGTTTGACGATGATCTGAGTAGTCAGTATGCAGACGCAGCACTGCATGCCTCAGCTATCCTTCACAAACATACAGGAAGGCACACATGCTCAAACTCATGAAATAGAACCAAATGGTGTTATCATACTGTATCTCCTATTAAGATGGGCTTTTTTCATACCACTGTACCAAGGTCTATACTGATCACTAAACATTGACCCTATTGTTGTATATGCTAACCCTGTCTGAAATTATCTTGTCTTATGCTCGTTTTTGGGAATTGAATCCTCTAGTTTAGCCCACAAGCTGAACAGATGACCTCTCTCTGCATCAGCATGAACCTCTGGGCTGCTAGCCCTAAATGCTATGTATGTGTCTGTACATTTTGTCATTGTGTCCTTGTGATCTTCTTGCTTATGGCAAACTTTGGCCTAGTTTAAAAATCCCCTGAAAGTCAAACTCAGCGGATGCTTCATTTGAATACAGTCAAATGAACCAATATGTGTCTTCAGACTCTAATGAGCTGATGATAATGAGCTGACATGTGTTTTGTGTTTTTTGTTTGTTAGTTTTTTGTCATAAATCATGTAAATTATGAAGCTAACTCTGTCATCCTACCATAACTCCATGTGATAGCAACATTTTAATGAACAAAAATCCTTCTCCTTATATCATATTTGCTCAGTATGAAAGAAGGAGTGCAGTGCTTTCCAACTTATTGACTTAAAGCAAGTAATCAGCAGGTAAAATATAGACCAATGTGTCCTTTAACTTCCTCAAAACTGAAATCAACCTCTGTTTTCTGTCCACAAACGCGTCACCATATCTTATGTTTTTGATGCATTCCTTGTTTTCAGTTTTGTCAAAATTGGATATCAGTAAGGATTGTATAAATGTAAATTACAAGAAAAATAAAAACAGGATAAAAGCAAATAAAGATAAAAACATGAGTAAAATAAATGAAACAGTTGGACCACAATCATAAACTAATAATACCCCAGTTTAACTTCAACAGATTAACTTCAACAGTCAGAGGCAGCTCTAAACAAATAGGTTTTTAACTTTAACTTAAAAGAACTCAGGCCCTCAGCACTATTACAGTCTTCTGAAAGTTTTTGTCCAGATACGTAAGTGGAGCATAGGAACTAAATACTACTTCTCCGTGTTTGGTTCCAGTTCTGGATGAACTGAGTAGACTGGAACTAGAAGACCTGAGTGGTCTGGGAGGTTGATACACTGACAACAAATCTGTTCTGTATTAAGGTACTGATCCATTCAGTGATTTAGAGACTAACAGAAGGATTACCGTATAAAGTCTATTCTCTGAGCTACAGGGAGCAGGTGTAAGGACTTCGGAACTAGGCTGTGTTCTACTTTCATAGTTCTAGTGAGAACATAGGCGGCAGCGTTTTGGATCAGCTGCAGCTTTCTAATGGACTTTTTAGGCAAACCTATGAAGACACTGTTGCAGTTATCAATTCTAGTAAAGATCAATGCATGAATGAGATTTTCTAGATCCTGTTTGGACATTAGACCTTTAATCCTGGAGATGTTTTCAGGTAATAAAAGACTGACTTAGTAACTACCTTTATCGATCATGACACCAAGATTTCGGCCATAATCAATGGTTTTCTATTGGCTGAAGCTGTGAGCTAACTCTGGATCTCTCCCTCTTTGGTCCTTAAATTATTACTTCACTTATGTTTTTAATCAGTTGGAGAATCTTATGGTGCATCCATATATCGATCTGTTTCTAAGCATCTATCCAACGCTCCAATTGGTTCATTATCACCTGGTGACATTGTGATGTAAAGCTGTGTAGTCTGCATGTGTACCTGCACATGCTACCAATAATTCATATGACCAATAAATCCTATGATAAATCCTATTTATTTTTAGATAATATAAACAGGATTTATCTTGAAATCCTTTCATTATTTTGTTCATTTCAGAAATATAGGATAGAATTTAGGAACAGAAAAAAAAAATAAATAAATAACTCATGATACCCAGAGAGCAAAACAACATTGGGTATCACTTTACTTAAGGTTTTATTACTGTTGTTTCCTATGAGCCTTTCATGGGGGGTTAGGAAAAAAAATGACAGAAGTAACAAGCTTAACTAAAAAAAAACATGCCTGCTAAACTAAAACTATTTCTTTTTACCTCCAGCAGTTTTCTGCATACCTCTCTATCGCTCCATCTCCCCTCCTGTCAGTATGAGTCACTCAGGCACCTTCAGTCCCAGAGACACACACTCTCTTAGGACATCCAGAGCAACACTGACTATTTTATCCCACTAAATTATTTGTAGGGGTAAAGATGGCACAATGTCAGGTGCTTGGAAGGTCAATGTTTTAAAGTTGCAAAAGCTAAGATGCATCAAATTGGCAGGTCCTGATGAAAGATTACCTTTAGTAGAAAGAGGCACATTTAGATGATTAAGTTTATGTAAATTCTCTTGCAGACAGACTTCCTCATCCTGCTGTCAAACAATGGCTGCAGATTGGGATCTAGTGTTTGAGTGATCTGAAAGTTAAAATTTTAAAGACATTTATTTGCATTACCAAACTATCAGAACGTGTAATGCCATTGTATCTGTGCTTTTACCCCCCACAAAAGTCTTTTAGGATTGGGTAAAAGTGCCACAGGGTTATGACAAAGATTTGGAGTTTCAGAAAAATTAAATGATATTTACTGAAAGCCATTGGCAGAGATAGCATACATTAAAACCAGCAGTGCATGTTCCTAGTTAATGGTTATATGAGAGCAAAAAACTGTAAATACTGGAAGAGATTCAAATGTTATTAAGTGGGCAATTAAGAATATGTAACGTGACTTGATCCTGATAGGGGCACTCAGTCTTTATCAGTATTTAATGTAGAAAGAGATCAAATGAAGGGAAACATTCTCCTAATTCCTGTGGTTGATTTGCATATAAACAGAGCTATGTGTAAAGTGTTCACAGCTCAATCTTGGGTTTAGTCTAACTGCACATGTTGTACAAGAGGAGCCTGTACTTCTGAGCTACAGATAAAACAGATTAACCAGTAATTTGTTAATTAGATCAAATAGTTGTTGTTTTTTTCATTTTTAGTTAAAATTCAGAGAGGCAGGACGTTAATGTAATCAGGAGAATCCAGGACAGTGTCTGTCTCTGTTTTTTTTTTTTTTGCATGTCTGTGTGTTTCATGGTTTGTACCTTTTCTCTTTGTTTTGATAATTACATTACAGAGTGTTTGTATTTTTATTTGAAGTTAAGGACTCGCAAGTAACTTTGACCGGGAAACACATTTTAGGTCTTTGATTCTTCAAGGTAGTGTGGGAATTAGCTTTTAACTGTGACAAGCCTCCTCTGGAAGCAGCTTAAACAGTCAGAGGATCGCTGACAGCTTTTGACATGCAAACATCGGAAATGTTATTTGGATTTTCTTTCTTCGTGACAGATTTTTATGAACTTGACAGTGAGCATTTGAGACATTCACATACATTATGGCATTTTAGGGAGAATCTGTTGAAACTGGCATGGAAAAAATACCTGGTTGTTAAATTCAGAGCGCAGTCTTCTCCTCAAAGGGATCCTTTGACATTTACTCCTCTGTGTAAATTTAAATGCATTATCTCAGGCTTAAAATGGCTGACGTAATTACATAAAATTGCGCATAATGATTAACAATCGAGTTTCCAAAATAGTCTTTAGTAAGACCAAAGCGGCTAAAGTTGTTTGAGGAGAGGAAAAACCATTTGTCCTTCCCTCTTTTCCTTGAAGCACATCCCACAGAATTCCTATTTTTTAAATTTCAAAAAGAACAACTCAGCACATTTTTGTTTTGCCGTTTCCACATGGCAAACAGACAGTGTTTTCATTGTAAGCCAGATTCCAAAATCTTTTAGAATGAAACATAAGGTAAACTAAACTGTGCTGTTTACTGAAATGAGTGTGTTGCCTTTAGGAAACAGAAAAAAATTTGCTTTTTCTCTTTACTTTGGTGTCAGTGTTGTCATGTTGTTCCTTGTGTTACTAATCGCATTACTAACTAATCTGTCTAAAACCCATTTCTTTACTGTTTCCCCTTTTCTCTGCTTTGCTGCTGCAGTCTCCAACCAAGTGGTACATGAAGCTTGTGCCTGTAAGTCCCCTTATCACTGCTGGCTTTTTCATCTGCGTGTTCATCGTGATTTATTTTACCCTCCCACTAGGGTATATACACAGTATTAGAGAAACATCCAATTATGATGTTAATATGATGCTATTATTTGCTATCAAAATATTTTTTTCTTTTATAAGCTCAGTACACTTTGTAAACATAGGATCTTGTTTTGTTTTTTTTCAACTAAACACTATGACCACTCATTTAAGTTCCAAAAATAATGAAAAGCATGGAAAATGGTCAAATTTAATATGAGCACACATGATGTCATTGAATGGCACTTTGTCCCTTCTCCAAAACAAAACTACATTGATTAATATTGCAATAACAATTTGACTAGTATAGGGAGTTGAAACCAGAAGTTTAAATACACTCTATGAAAAATCTTTTTTTCTCATTGTCAGACATAGAATCACACTAAACCTTTCCTTTCTTAGCATTCCCCTTGCAACCTGTAACCTGGCTTTAATTACCGGTAGTCTTTTTTGAAGTATTGGCTTCTTTCTGGCACCTAATAGCATTTCAGCACATGTCGCTACATTACCCCTTTCACTGCAGACAAACTCTTTCCAGCTCCCTTGCTTTTTTTCTTGAGTTGGTTTGCACATATAAGACCAAAGCACATTCATCTCTGGGACCCAAAGCCCATCACTTTTGTGAGCGGTATGACGGTTGAACAGTCCGGCATTTAGAAATTGCACCTAATGATAAACTAGACTTGTGGATGTCCTCAGTTCACCTCCTGATATCTAGGGCTGAATTTTTTTTTTTTATCTCTCCCCATAATGTTACACAAAGGGGGAAATCGTTTTAGGTGAGCCTATAAAACATCCTCAGCTGTGTCTCAGAGCTGCTTAAATGTCGTCAATAAACCAATCAGAGGCGTCCAAAGACATGACATCATCTTCTGGGCGTTCCCAAACCGTTTAAGGCATCATGATCTTATTGTATGTAAACTTCTGAATATAAAGAAAGTAATAATTTTTTGTCAAAAATAATTCTTCTTTCATTATTCTGGCATGTAGCAAAAGTATATAATAGGGATGCACGATATTGGGATTTTGGCCGATATCAGATTTGCCGATATTTTAAAACTCATGTAGCCGATAACCGATATCGATACCGATGTTAAAGCTGGACAAAAATAAGTAGTCATTGAAAATAGCA